TCACTGAACAACTTGTGGAGAGATTGTTGAATGGGAACCTGAACTGCTGCGTAAACCTTCACCGAAAACACAATAAAATATGATTTAAGAAAGTGGGGGAGGAGGAGTGTAGGGCCCAAGGCGGGTATAGAGTGTCTCGCTTGGGGTAGACCCAGTACCCTCACGACCAACGGAAGTAGGACTAGGAGTCCATGACACAAGAGAGTGAATTAGAAAAAGGCGTCCAGGCTGGCTGGACTTTTGCCTCGACTTACCCCTGGATCCAAAGCCCACATGCAGGACACAAACTGAACAACAAAGGGGACCAGACGATGTTTTGAGGAGGGATTCCTGAGAGCTTCTGATCTCGGCCTCTTGCCCTAGAACTTTCAGGGGACAGCCTGACACAGTATGATCACCATCATCGAGTAAGGGACCCCAGCTCTTTATACAGCAATTAACCAAGAGCCGAGACAAGGTTCTAGATGGTTCCAGTAATGAGCAGGTGGGAAGAGACTAAAGGATGCAAGTTAAAAGAAACAAGAAAAAACAGAAGCTCATCTCTGTTTCATAATTAGCTCTTGTTTTGTGTTAGACTCTCCTTTGGAAGGGCCTTACCGACTTAAACTCCAGAAATTCCATTCCTTTGGCAACTTGATATGCAAAGCAAAGGAGATCCTCAAATGTCAGTACATTGAAGTCCTCTTCCTCATCCAGTCGTTTTTGGTTTTCATACTCAATTTCATCTGGAAGATAGAACCAGTCTTCCCTGTTATCAACACTAAGAAGTTGCCCGATTACATCCTTATGAGAGGCCATCAAAGTCACAGGTGAGAAGATAAAACATACAAATGACAGGCTCCCGTGGTTTAGCTGGCAGCACCACGACAAAATGCGTGCGCAGCCCACACAAGCTTACTTAAAGATCCTTTTTGTTTCCAAATCCATTGTTTTCTAGTTGATTTTGATTCATAACAACTCTATAGGGCAGAGTGGAACTGCCCCATAGGGTTTCCTAGGCTGAAATCTTTATGGAATCACATGGCCACATCTTTCTCCCATGAAACAGCTGGTGGGTTTGAACTGCTGACCTTTCGGCTAGCAGCCAAGTGTTTAACCACTGCCCAGGACTCCTTTCTTCTTCCTTACAGAGACCAAATTTCCTAGCTGCCTCTGTGACAGATGGCCTCCAAATTAGGCAGGGATCTTAGATGCTTTCTTTGTGTATGCGCCCTCGGCAGTTTTGTCACACTGGGGAAGGAACTAACTTTAATTGTCCACCACATTTTAGGAACTGTTCTGTGTACTCAAGGAGTCCTGGTGGCTCAGTGGCTGAGTGCCTGGCTGCCAACCAGAAGGTCAGTGGTTTGAACCCA